AAAAAAAAAAAAAAAAAAAAACGGCACGGTTTGTGTTGGATGCAACCATTTATGTGCAAGTGGGGGAAATACAAGAAAAATATGCACATACATAACAAATATTTCTCAGAACCATGTGTGTTCAAAGTCGTCCCGCTTAGCAGGTCAGTGGGGAGAGTTTCCACTGATGATCATGAGGCTTCACCGCATGGGTTTGTGTTGCTGCTGAAATCAAGCAATGTGCCTCAAGTACTAAGAACATAGGAAACCAGGACCCATCCCAACCCATGTGCTGACCTGCGTAGGCAACTGCCTAGAACTCTGCTCCACTAGGAAAACCAGATGCTTAAAATGGGTTACCAGCATGGTATCCATAGGAATGAATGGGAGAGAAAACATCACTCTCCTCTGAACAGTAAGCTGTAAAGACACCAATTTTACAGATGCTTTGTATTAGAGACTGAATTAGTTGTCACTCTTGGCCTTGCCATTGAATTCACTTAAAAAAGTGACATTTTAGCCAGAGTTCTGTTTTTCACAGAATGAGGTAACAGGCATTGGAGTTCCCTGCTTCCCAAAGGAGCTGGTCCTCAGCTGTAACTTCTGTATAAAGAAGCCAATCTTAGAAAACATGCATCTCCAGTTCCTATGTACAACGAGTTGGAAAGTCACCAACTTCACGGATGCTTGCTCTTAGGACAATGAATGAATTGCCACTCTTGGTATAGTGAGGATTTGCCAATTATTTTGGTTACCACAGTGATGTTTTAGGCAGAGTTTTGTGTTTCTCTGTATGCAGGAACAGGCATTGGAGTGCCCTACTTCACAAAAAAGCTGGATCTTCACTGGCTCTTCTCCATTAAGAACTCACTGTAGGAAGCCAAATCATGGAGCTGAATCAATCATCTGTACAAGGAAAACTTGAGACTTACAATGAGTTACCAGCTGGCTTTATAGGGAAGAATTGGGATAGAAAACATCCTTCAGTTCCTCTGCACAACAAGCTGTAAAGTCACCAACCACATGGATGCTTTCTTTTAGGAGACTGAATGAATTGCCACCCTTGGCATAGTGGGGATTTTTGAATTACTTTTTTTTTTTAGTAAAGTGATGTTTTAGCACACTTCGGTGTTTCACTGAATGCTGGAATAGGCATAGGAGTGCCCTGCTGCCCAAAGAAGTTTGAGCTTAACTGGCTCCTCTACCTTAAGAACTCACTCAGAAACACCAATCATGAAGCGGAAACAATCAGCTCTACTAGGTTACTTTGATGCTAAGAAAGTGTTACCAGCTTGGTTCCAATATGAATGAATGTGAGAAAATACACATCTCCAGTTTCTCTGCACCTCCAGGTGGAAAGTCACAAACTTCACGGATGCTTTTTCTTAGGTGACAGAATGAGATGCCACTCTTGCAATAGTTGAGTTTTGTTAATTACTTCGGTTACCAGTGTGACATTTTAGCCAGAGTTCAGTGTTTTGCTACATGTGAGAACAGGCAATGAAGTGTCCTGCTTCCAAAAGAAGTTGCACCTTGGTTGCTATTTCTCCTTAAAGAACTCACCCTTAGAAACACAAATCTTGGAAGAGAACCAGCTGTACTAGGAATCCAGGATGCTTAGAACATGTTATCAGTTTGGTTCCCATAGGAAGGAATGTGAGAGAAAACTTCCTTCTCCAGTTCCTCTGTAAAATGAGCAGGAAAGTCACCAACTTCATGGATGCTTTCTTTTAGGAGACAGAATGAATTGCCACCCTTGGCATAGTGAGACTTTGTGAATTACTTCGGTTATCAAAGTGATATTTTAGCCAGAGCTCTGTTTCTCCCTGTACGTAGGAACAAGAATACTAGTGCCCTGCTTCCCAAAGAAGCTGTAGCTTAGCTGGCTCTTCTCTGTAAAGGACTTCCTCTGAGAAACATAAATCATAGAGCAGTAAATATCAGCTCTTTTAGGAAACTTGGATGCTTAGAACATTTGACAAGCACAGTTGCCATAGGAATAAATGGGAGGGGAAACATACTTCTCCACTTCCTCCGTAAAATGAGTTGCAAAGTCACCAACTTCCTGGATGGTTTCTTGTAGGAGACTGAATGAGTTGCCACTCTTGGCATACTGGGACTTTTCAAGTTATTTCGGTAACCAAAGTGACATTTTAGGCAAAGTTTTGTGTTTCACTGTATATGGGAGCATGCATCAGAGTGCCCTGCTTCCCAAAGAAGCTGGAGGCTAGCTGGCTCTTCTCCATTAAGAATAGTCTTAGAAACATAACTCATGGAGCAGAATCAATCATCTCTACTAAGAAACCTGGATCTTAGACATGTTACCAGGTGGGTTCCCATTTGAATGAATGGGAGAGAAAACATCCTTCACTTCCTCTGCATAATAATCTTCTTGTCATAGTGGAGCTTTGCAAATTACTTCAGTTACTAAAGTGACATTTTAGCCAGAGATCTTTGTTTTGCTCCATTTAGATACTAGAATTGGAGTGCCCTGCTTCCCAAAGAAGCTGACGTTTAGCAGGCTCTCTCTATTAAGAACTCACTGTTAGAAACACAAATCGTGGAGCAGAAACCATCAGCTCTACTAGGAAACCTGGATGCTTAGAACGTGTTACCAGCTCGGGGCCCAGAGAAAAAAGGAAAGAAAACATTCTTCTCCAGTTCCTCTACACAGTGTGGTAGAAAGTCAGCAATTTCATGAAAGCTTTCTCTTAGGAGACTGAATTATTTCCGACACTTGGTATGGTGGGGCTCTGTTCGGTTACCAAAGTGACGTTTTAGCCAGAGTTCTGGGTTTTGCTGTATGTGTTAACTGCTTCTCAAAAATGTGGAGTTTATCTGGATATTACCTGGAAAGAACTCACTCTGAGAAACAAAAATCATGGAGCAGAAACAATCAGCTGTATTAGGAACACTGGATGCCTAGAATGGGTTACAGCTTGGTTCCCATTGGAATGAATGGGAGAGAAAACATCCGTCTCCAGTTCCTCTGACAATGAGCTGGAAAGTCACCAACTTCAGGGGTGCTTTCCTTAGGTGACTGAATGAGTTGCCACTATTGGCATAGTAGGTCTTTGCCATTATTTTGGCTATCAATTTGATGCTTTAGCCAGTGTTCTGTTTCACGGTATGCATGAAGAGGCATTGGAGTGCCATGCTTCCCAAAGAATCTCAAGCTTAGCTAGCTCTTCTCCAGGTTCTCTTCAGAAGGAGCTGGAAAGTCACAAACTTCACGGATACTTTTTGTAGGAGACTGAATGATTGACACTCTTGGCACAGTGGGTCTTTGTGAATTAGTTCGGTTACCAAAGTGATGTTTTACCCAGAGTTCTGTGTTTCTCTGTGTGGGAACAGGCTTTGGAGTGCCCTGCTTCTCAGAGTGGTTTGTGATTAGCTGGCTCTTCACTGTCAAGAACTCACTCTTAGAAACACAAATCATGGAGCAGGAACAAGCAGACTTGCTTACAGAACTAGAGTCTTTAAACATATTTCTGCCTCTGTTCTCATAGGAATGAAAACAAGAGAAAACACTCCTACACTTTCTCTGCATAAGGAACTGAAATGTCACAAACTTTATGGAACCTTTTCCTTAGGAGAGTGAATTAATTGCTACTCTTGGCATAGTGCGACTTTGAGAATTACTTCAGTTACCAAAGTGACGTTTTACCCAGACTTTTGTGATTCACTGTATGCAGGAACAAGCATTGGAGTGCATGCTTCCCAAAGAAGCTGGAGCTTTGCTAGCTCTTCTTTAAGACCTCACTCTTAGAAACACAAGTCATTGTGCAGAAACATGCAATTCTAATTAGGGAATGGAGTCTTCAAACGTGTTTGTGCCTCTGGCTCTTCTCCATCAAGAACTCAGTCTTAGAAACTCAATCATAGAGCCGAAATAATCAGACCTACTAAAAAACATAGATGCTTGGAACATGTTACCAACTCGGATCCCATAGGAACGAATGGGAGAGAAAATATTTTTCTCCAGGTCCTCTGCACACCGAGGTAGAAGTCATCCACTTCACAAATGCTTTCTCTTAAGAAACTGAAGAACCCAACTTGGCATAGTTGGGTTTTGTGAATTACTTCAGTTACCACAGTTTAGTGTTTATCTGCAAGCCGAAACAGACATTGGACTGCTCTGCTTCTGAAAGAAGCTGGAGCTCAGCTGGCTCTTCTCTGTTAAGAACTCACTCTTAGAAGCTCAAATCATTCAGCAGAAAAGATCACCTCTGCTAGGAAACCTCAATTCTTAGGATGTGATACCAGCTCATTTCCCATAGGCATGAATGGAAGGAAAAACATCATCTGTTTCTCTGCACTATGAGATGAAAAACCACTGCCTTCAAGGATGCTTTCCTTTAGGGGACTGCATGAGTTGTCACTCGATAGAGTGATGCTTTGTGAATTACTTTGATTACCAAAGTGATGTTTTAGCCACAGTTCTGTGTTTCTCTATATGCAGGAACTGGCATTGCAGTGCTCTGCCTCCAGAAACTGGAGTTTAATTTGGTTTTCTCCATGAAGAACTCTTAGAAGCACAATTCATGGTTGAGAAATAATCAGCCCTGCTAGGAAACCTGTATGTTTAGAAATCATTACCAGATCAGTTCCTATAGGAATGAATGGGTGAGAAAACAACCTTCTCCAGTATCGCTGCACAATGAGACAGAAAGTCATCAACTTCACAGATGTGTTATTTTTGGAAAGTGAATGAGTTGCCATTGTTAAC